AACCTTCACCCCCGGGTCTCTGGCCTGCGATGTCCCCAGCCTTGCTGTGGACGGGGAAGGTTGGCGATGCGTCTGTGTTCCGTGTCTGGGGATCTCGGGCGTTTGTCCGTGACTTGTCTGCGGACAAGCTGTCCCCTCGTGCTGCTCCCTGTGTCTTCCTTGGCTTCCCCACTGACGCCCCAGGGTGGCAGTTTTACCACCCCTCCTCTCGTCGTGTTCTGTCCTCCCAGGACGTCACGTTCGACGAGTCAGTCCCCTTCTACCGTCTCTTCCCCTACCGCACTCCTTCCCTCCCCCCTCCCCCGGACTTCCTTGTGCCGGTTCCCCCCCCGGTAGACCCCCTCCCCCCTCAGTTTCCTGCCCCCTCAGGTGTGTCCCAGGTAGACGCCGTTGACCCGGTCGAGGTTACTGGTGACTCTGGTGCTGCTGCGGGTGCTGAGCCTGGGGGTGCTGACTCTGGGGGTGCTGTGCGCGGGGGTGCTGAGCCTGGGGGTGCTACTGCTGGGGGTGCTGGGCCTGAGGGTGCTACTGCGGAGGGTGCGGAGCCTGGGGGTGCTGAGCCGGGGGATGCTGTGCCTGGAGGTGCTGGGTCTGGGGGTGCTGGGTCGGGAGCTGCTGAGCCTGGGGGTGTTGAGCTGAGAGCTGCTGAGCCTGGGGGTGCTGCGTCTGGAGCTGCTGAGCCTGGGGTTTCTCCTGCTGCTGCGTCTCGCCGGGAGCCCCTCTCTCCACAGGAGCTGCGCGAGTGGTTCGCTCGCCGCTGGAGGCGTGCTGCTGAGTCTGGAGGTGCTGCTGGAGCTGGAGCTGGAGCTTCTTCGACTGTCGAGGGTGCGGGTGCTGCCGGTCCCGGAGCTACTGGACCTGCGGGTCCTCCTGGAGCTGGAGCTGCTGAGGGCGTTGGTGCTGAGCCTACTGCTGTTGGTCCTGCCACTGGAGGTGTGGGTGGCGCTGGTGCTGTCGCTGAGGGTGCTGGTGCTGTCCCTGCTGCGTCTGGAGCTGCCGCGCGGCCTCGGCCGTACTTCGTTCCGCTCCTGCAGCAGGTTCTCGGTCTTTCTCCTCCAGTAGAGGGTCCACCGCCTGTCCAGTCGCAGTCCCTGCTGGAGCCTTCCTCTCCACTGCCTGCTCCCTCTCCTTACACTGGTCCTACTGGAGGTCTTGCTGAGCGTCGTGAGCCTGCGTCTCGTCCCGCGTCGCCTGTTCGTGCTGCTCGCGCTAGTGGTCGCAGTTCGCGTCAGCGTCCTCCTCCTGTCCCTGGCACGCACCGGATGTCTTTGCGTCCGTCCACTGCTCCTCTGCGTGCCCCTTTGCCTTCTCCTCCTGAGTCCTCTCTTCCTGCGCTTGCCGACCCTGAGTCGGACTCTCTTCGTGCTGCCAGTCCTACTGTCACGCGTCTGCTTGCTACTGTCGTCACTGACCCCTCTTTTGAGTCCACTGCTGCGTCTGCTCTAGTCACTGAGCTCGTCGACTTTGCTGCTCGCTGTCGTCTCGACTACGCTGCTAGTCTTGTTGCTGAGTCTGCGTCTGTCTGTCCTCCGTCCGTCGGGGGTGAGTGTGCTCTTGGCACGGACGTCCTATAGGACAGGCAGGAGGAGTTACAGTGTCTAGCGGATGCTTCACCTCATCTCGCGTCTGTACTGCTTGCCCCTGAGGGAGACCCGGATGCACTAGACATCCCGACTCCGCGTTCTTACGCGGAGGCCGTAGAGGGTCCCTACTCCTCTCAGTGGCAGGCAGCTATGGATGCAGAGATGGCTTCCTGGAAGTCCACAGGCACCTACGTTGACGCGGTTCCCCCTCCTGGGGCGAACATCGTCAGTGGCATGTGGATCTTCAGGGTGAAGCGGCCGCCGGGCTCTCCACCTGTCTTCAAGGCACGGTACGTTGCTCGTGGCTTCAGTCAGCGGCAGGGAGTTGACTACTTTCAGACCTTCTCTCCCACCCCGAAGATGACTACTCTTCGGGTGCTGCTGCACATAGCCGCTCAGCGCGACTACGAGCTTCACTCTCTCGACTTCAGCACTGCGTTCTTGCAGGGTAGCCTGCACGAGGAGATCTGGCTTCGCCGTCCACCTGGCTTCACTGGGACTTTCCCTCCTGGCACCCAGTGGAGCCTCCGACGGCCAGTCTACGGTCTCCGCCAGGCACCGCGTGAGTGGCACGACACACTGAGGACTACGCTTGCGGCTCTTGGGTTTGCTCCTTCTACTGCTGACCCGTCGCTGTTTCTTCGCACCGACACTTCCCTGCCGCCGTTCTACATCCTCGTGTACGTCGACGACTTGGTCTTTGCCACAGCGGACACTGCTGGACTCGCCTACGTGAAGTCCGAGCTGCTGAAGAGACACACGTGTACAGACCTGGGTGAACTGCGCAGCTACCTTGGCTTGCAGATCACTCGGGACAGAGCACGCCGCACCATTACCTTGACTCAGTCACACATGGTGCAGCAGGTCCTTCAGCGCTTCGGCTTTACGTACTCCTCGCCTCAGGCCACTCCTCTGCCTACTCGCCACTCACTCTCAGCTCTGCCTTCGGATGAGTCCGTAGAGTCGAGTGGTCCGTATGCAGAGCTTGTTGGCTGCCTCATGTACCTGATGACCTGCACACGACCTGACCTTGCATACCCTTTGAGCATTCTTGCACGCTATGTTGCTCCTGGGAGACACAGACCGGAGCACATGGCTGCAGCGAAGAGGGTATTGCGCTACCTGTGCAGTACGTCGGGCATGGGGCTAGTGCTTGGAGGGCGGAGTCCAGTGGTCCTTACCGGCCACGCGGACGCTTCTTGGGCTGACGACCAGGCTACGCAGCGGTCGTCACAGGGTTACACCTTCAGCCTTGGTTCCGGCTCTGTCTCGTGGCGGTCTACTCGCTCGTCTTCGGTTCTCGGCTCCAGTTGTGAGGCTGAGATCTACGCCGGGGCCATGGCTGCACAGGAGCTTCGCTGGCTCACCTACCTGCTGACTGACCTTGGAGAGCCGCCTCGTTCTCCTCCAGTGCTGTACGTAGACAACAAGGTCATGCTGGCCTTGTGTCGAGAGCAGCGCTTGGAGCACAGAACGAAGCACATTGCTCTCCGCTACTTCCTTGCTCGTGAGCTGCAGCAGCGTGGTCAGTTGCGACTTGCGTACGTGGCCTCTGAGGCCAACACTGCTGATGTGTTCACCAAGGCACTCGCGCCTTGTGACCATCAGCGCTTTTGCATCCAGCTGGGTCTTGTACCTGTCTTGCCTCACTTGCTCTCCTCTTGACTTCACTTGTACTGTGACATATATATATACCTGCTCTTGTTTGTCTAGTTTTATATATATGTCTGTACTCCTGCATGTGAACTGGCCTCTGGCCCTGCTCTTGTGCTCGGACTGTGTGGTGACTTTGTGATCCACCCTGAGCTTGCTTTGCTTTGCTTTGCTTGACTGGTCTTGTGACCCCTTGTTCTCCCCCACTTTGCCTATGGGGGTGTGTCAGATTATCATAGTTGATGCATGTTTGTAGGCTATAGTGGGGTAGCACATATGGGGTACAGTTTTCTAGGGTTGTATTTGTACCCCACCCTGACTTAGTCATTTTCCCTTCCTGTTCACTTGTTTCACACTCATCGCCTGACTGTTGCCCTCGCCCTCGTCCATAGGCGACTCCTGACGCGCTTCACCTCGCGTCTGGCGTAGCTCGGCGTTTTCCTCTCGTAGTGTCGTTACTTCCGCCATTAATGTCTTCATGCTTTCCTGCATTTCTGCCACTTGCGTCATGATCCTGTTAACAGCCTCCGGATCCATGTGTCTAACGCTACGTCTGGTGGGCAGTCGGGTCTCCGTGGCCTTCAGGCAAATGAAAACACGAACTATCGGAGTCGGGCAGGATTGAATTAACAATCCCTGCAGCCAACCGTCGTGTAGTCACTAAACCAGCCACACCCTATGCCACCAAACTACCCTCGGAAAAGCGGGGTGAACTAGGAAAGTAGCTCTGATACCAGGTGTTATGAGTTGTAAAAGAGAGTGCGCAGGTAAACGAATAACGAGGCTGTGACTGAATGAATCTGAGAATACAATAAATGCACAGACTAATGTAGGACTAGCCTAACCAGGAGGAAACCTCGGGAGGCGAGGTTGGGTGCAAGTTCGGCGATGGAAATGCCGAAGGCGACGCGAGGAGCCTCGGCAGCGTTGAAATCGGCCGAACGTGCGAACTCCGAAAATCGGGTTGTACGCGAAGCAGTCAACCCCGATAAGGAATTCGGGAAAATTCCTTACAAGATTGGCTCTGCGGGCAAATGCTAAGTCGATAGGGTAAACCATGGTTATGGCTCCTTTTCCTTAGCGACAGCGTCATGCATACTTCTGTCGGCGAAATCGGTGATATTTACGGTATTAGCCCACTGATAATGTATGCTCCAGTTTCAGAGGCCCTAATTGCCAGTTCCACTTCAACTCTGGTCCCCCTTCCTTATCACTGACTCAGCTCCTTCCACTCCATATCGAACGTCGCTTGTCACAATGGTTCCTTCTGATATTAGTCCCATGCCTCTTCCCGAGCCTGAGATCTTCGTCGACGTCGCTATAGCGGGTGCTGGACTTGGCGGCCTCGCGCTGGCAGTCGGTCTGCAGGAGCGAGGCTTTAAATCAGTCATGCTCTTCGAGGCCGTGCCTTACTCCCGCTCCCAAACCGGAACGGTTTTCGCCTTAGTTCCCAACGGTGCCAAGGCGCTTGAGGGATTAAAGCCCGGGCTCGGCGACGCTGTCATTGGCTGCGGATCAACGATCACAAAAACTAGGTTCGTTACTCGAGAAAATCCGGCGCCGATTGAATCTGTATCGGCCACTGCTTCTACCAGCGGCGGTAATAGTAGTAGCGGTTCTGCCACTAACGATGCTGCTACTATTGGAGCTGGCAAGAAAAGCGACGGCTGGGTTGTGACGGAAAGGGAGAGAAACCTGACAATTGTGGGATGGGCGCGAGCTCAAGAGGTGCTTGCCTCGTCTCTAACGCGACGCGAGAATATTATGCACGGACATCGCGTCGTGGCGTATTACCCCGTCGTCGCGGGAATGCCAGTTGCGGATTCGAGTGGTGGATCGGACAGTAGTAATGGTGGCGCTGGCGAGAGAGAGGTGGAAGGTGTTGACGTGGTGCTCGAGGTCGTGGGTTCGAATCCCGAAACTGACAAAAATCATTCACCGTCCGCTGTTTCAGGAGGAGCTGAAACCGCAGGAGCGGTGCAGAAGCAGCGTCAGATGGTGGTTCGTGCGAAGGTTCTGGTCGCAGCGGATGGCGTGCGATCAGCTGTGCGAAATCAAATGTTTGGCGACTCGCCTCGGTATTTGGAGCAGATTGGTTGGAACGCGCTCGTGCCAAACCCGCCAAGCGCGAGAGTGTACCCGCAAGAAGATCAGGTGTTGCAACTATTCGTGGATAAGGTTACGGGTTACCAGATATTTCTGATTGATGTTGGCCATGGGAAGACCTTCTGGCAGGTATGCCCTCACATAGCATGCTATCGTGTATTTGCTTGCACATCCATTCCTTGCTTTTCTTTTCTTTCATTTCCCTTTTGTTTTGCCTGAACCGAATCAACACAACCTGTCCCCCTAAGATGTTTATCCTGTCTACCCAACCCATCTCCCAATTCAGGTTCGCATTGTTGATCCTGATAGCAAGCTCAAGTCCGAGCTCAAGCTAACACCCTTTGGGGGATTCGGCAAACCAGGCGTGAAGGATCGTTTAATGTGCCACGTCAGCAAAAATGTTGCGGATCCATCAGGCCATGACACCTGGCAAACCGTGCTCCAGGCGGTTACCACCACTGACGCGGGTAACATCTACGAGCGGTGGATGATGGACCGGCCTCCTCCGAAGGATTCTTGGAGCGACCCCAAGTGTGGTAACAGAGTTGTTCTTATTGGGGATGCCGCACATGCCATGCACACCGGTCCAGGGCAAGGAGCTCAAATGGCATTTGAGGATGCACACCAGCTGTCCATGTGCCTTGCTGACGTCAAGGATGTGCTCGCCGAACCTGCTGCCGTGGCTGCTGCGGTTCGGGAGTATGAGGCTCGGCGGATCGAGAGGTGTGTGAAAGTGCATGCTTTTGCCACTGGGTCACATGAGTTTGGAGAGGAGGGGAAACTTGTGAAGGCTCTTTCTCCGCCCGAGAAACTGAAGAGATTTATGGAGTTTGGGAGTTGGGTCCATGCGTATCCAGACAAGATAAAAGGTGACCCTGAATCCACCTACTTCAAATGATCCTTCAACTGCTGTATGCGCAATGCAACCTTGAGTCCACTGGAATCATGTAGGCTCTGGATTATTTTTTTTCGGTGCTTGAAAGTCCCTGGATGGATGTTTTTATTATCTGGCTGAGTGCCTATCTCTGGGTCTGGGCGGTTTGGCTGCTGGAATATCAGCATTGGTCACAGTAAAAGGTTGTAAGGTAAGAAAGAATGTCACTGGTGCCATGTCATGTGGCGTCTTGTAACAGATATGGGTCTTTACAGTTCAGCTTTTGTGTCACAATCATGTGCAAAATGGCCGAATCTGGTGCACAAGAGTTAGATGCAAGGTGGAAGTGCTGTCTGTGTTATCTGCCATTTACGGTAAAAATCTGAATTGTTACCTAGGTACTTAGATACTTCAAGTACCGTAGCTTCTGAGATCACTGTAACTATGTGATCGTTGGCCACAACTGTAACTAGCCAGTTTTCCTAACAGCTCCAGCACCAACTGAATCACCATGATCCTTCCCGAGCCCATCAAGGTAACACGATTATCTTGTGTCTCGGAACGGGTCAGCAGTTGAAGGATCATTTGAAGTAGGTGGATTCAGGGTCACCTTTGATCTTGTCTGGGTACGCTTGGACCCACTTCTGTAACTCAAAATACATCTTCCTTTTCTCGAGAAGAGGAAGGGCGTTCACAAGATTCCCCTCCTCTCCGAACCCATGCGCTGCAGTGGCATACGCATGGATTTTCACGCACCTGTCGATCCGCCAAGCCTCATACTCTCGAACCGCAGCAGCCATGGCAGCAGGCTCGGCGAGCATATCCTTGATTTCAGCAAGGCATAGGCATAGCTGGTGAGCATCCTCAAAGGCAACCTGAGCTCCTTGCCCTGGGCCAGGGTGCATGGCATGTGCGGCATCCCCCATAAGAACAACCCTATTACCACATTTAGAGTCGCTCCAGGAATCTTTTGGAGGAGGCCGGTCCATCATCCAACGCTCGTAGATGTTACTGGGGTCGGTGGTGGTAACCGCCTGGAGAACGGTATGCCAAGTGTCATGCCCTGAAGGGTCTGCAACGTTCTTGTTGATGTGGCACATCAAGCGGTCTTTGACACCTGGCTTGCCGAAACCACCGAAGGGTGTTAGCTGGAGCTTGGACTTGAGCTGGCCATCAGGGTCAGCAGTTTGAACCTGAAATTGGGAAGATGGTTAGGATAGCAAAGATTTTGGAAGGTGTGGTAGCTGAAGCGATGTGGTTGGTTCGTGTTGAAAGAATGCAGGATGGAAATGCCAACATGAATCGTGCGAGCATGTGCGAACAAAAGTGGATATACCAAGAACGTGCTAGCAGAACGGTGTGGCATGGATGGGTTGGGCTGAGTTGAATTGGTCCGGAAGAAAGACATGAAAGCAGAGTGCAAAGGAAATTAAATGTATGCTAAACGAGAGCGTTACCTGCCAAAACGTCTTCCCGTGGCCGACATCAATCAAATATATCTCGTAACCCATAACCTCATCAAAAAAATAAAGTAACCCCTGATCTTCTTGTGGGTACACTCTCGCGTTTGGCGGGTTTGACACAAGCGCGTTCCAACCAATCTGCTCCAGGTACCGTGGCGAGTCGCCGATCATCTGATTTCGCACGGCTGATCGCACGCCATCCGCTGCGACCAGAACCTTCGCACGAACCACCACCAGCTGAGGCTCCTGCTGCACCGCACCTGTCTCCTCCTCAATTTCATGTTCTTCCGTTTTGGGATTCGAACCCACGATCTCGAGCACCACATCAACCCCTTCCACATCGCCCTCGTCGGCGCCATCATTGCTGCTATTAGATCCACCATTCCTGTTCGCAACAGGCATTCCCACGACGACGGGGTGATACGCCATGACGCGATGCCCATGTATAATACTCTCGGGTCGCGTTAAAGACGAGGCAAGTACCTCTTGGGCTCGCGCCCACCCCACAATTGTCTGGTCTCGCACCACTTCCCTCACAACCCAGCCGTCGCGATTTTCACTGGTTAGTATAGTAGCAGCATCGTTAGTGGCGGATCCGCTACTATTACCGCCGCTGGTAGCGCTGGCCGATTCAGAATCTATTTTATCCGCCGATATTTCTCGGATAAAAGACTTTACTTTTGTGACTGTTGAGCCGCATGCAATCACCGCGTCGCCGAGCCCGGGCTTTAATCCTTCGAGCGCCTTGAAGCCGTTGGGATAAACGCCGAGAATCGTGCCGGTACTGTTGTTCGATCGTCGCGCGGCGGGCGCTGCCTCGAAAACGGCCGCCTCGATGCCGCGCGCCTGCAGGCCGGCGGCGAGCGCGAGCCCCGCGAGTCCGCCGCCAGCAATCGCCACGTCCACGTGGAATGAGGGCAGCGGAAGCTCCGCCGTGGCGGTCGGATTTGGCGCCGCGTTTTGCGCCGTGTGCGACGCGTTTCTGGCTGCTTGCGGATTGGAGGAACTTCCCCGCGGCTGCGTGAGCCTACTATCGCCGGCCATGGAGTAAGAGTAGTGGCGGCGTCGCATCGTCATGCGACGACATTGATCCGTCGTTCCGAGGCGCGGGGTCCGAGTTTCGCATTTCGCCGCCGTGGTGAGACGAAGAGCAGAGAGTGTGACGGCAGGTGGGGCGAGAAGCGAAGCCATAGCTCCGATGTTCTGATTCTAGGAAGGTGTGGGTAGGAGAATTTGACCTGCAGGGGGACGTTAATGTTCCTATTTCGGAGGAAGAGAGAAAGGGAGGGAGTCTCACTTCCATGACGGCCCCGGGTCGCACGCATTTTCAAAGGCTTCAGGGGAAGGCACGGCGACGAGGGGAATGATTCTGGGAAGGAATCTCGTCTAGAGGAGGAGAAGCGCGAAGGGAAAAGACGGCAGCAAAAGTCGGCCGTACAGGTCCTTAGGGGAGTTTGAGGTGCCACCCTGCAGCTCGATATAAAGAGATTCTCGGAGGTGACGTGACTGTCAAGGATTGGAAGACTAAGCCCGAGGTTTCGGGCGCGCGGATTTCAAAACGCCCTGTGAGGCCTGGATTTCTTGCCACACATAGCGGCTTTCTCAGATGGCGTTCCTGAGATGGGGGAAGTTCGGAGTGCTGCACTATTGGTCCAGCGTGGCAGTCCTGGGTATTTTGCACACCCACCACACGTGCCATGCGATGTCAGTCTCATTGTGCGAAAAACAAGTGAGAAAACTTCCAACCAATCACATGCTTCTGTATTCAACGTTCATGCGCCAATTCCAAACGGCCACAATCTCCCATAACACGGTCGAAACAGTCTGGGGGGAACCCGATGAAAAAACAGTCTAGGTTGTAGAGCATGTGCTGTGTGGTGACCGTGAAACGAAATTGCTTTCTGCTGTTGGATTGGCGCCTGTTTTTCCTTATCCATTTGTCACGTTTTTCTTTGACCTTTCTGAACGTGCCAAACCCAGTCACGACTCGGTCCTCTGACAGTAAAAAACGTCAGTGGTTCTGACGTTGGGCGTCAAAGGAAGTTGCCATGCGCAAAAATCGCACGACCCTCACCGCTCAACTCATGCGACGTCCAGATTCACTCCCCCCGTTGCTGCCATGCCTTAGGCACGTGTTCTGTGCACTGTTGCTGGGGGAAGTTCGGATGGGGCCCCATCTCAGGAACGCCATCTCAAGCCATGTTTCGAGCGGGGAAAGCTACGTGCGCACGTGTCAATGGTGGCAGTGAGAAACTCGAGAGGGGGAGGGAGGATCTTTTGAGAATTTGACATGAGAGACGAATGGGAGGAGCAGAAGGCAGTCAAGTTGGGTTTGGCGTGCAGCTATGACTGGCGGAGTATGTGATGTTGTGCAGCCATCGCGCAAATGGAAAATTTTAAAGTCCAGAGGGCGAGAAGCGATTTGGTTGGTTTGAGAGGGTTGTAGAGGGGTCGTGACGAGGGAATCTGGGATTGTCCCCGAGTACACCGCTGCACTATACCTAAACTTTATCAGTTTCAGTAAATGTAAGGAAATTCCTTTTTCCTTACTTCGCGTCCCTGCTCAACGCGTACGTCACTGTAGCACCTCAGTCAGCACCGTTACCACTCACGACCATCGTATCATTCATTATCCCGCCCTCTTCGCACATCGCATCCCAACCTCACGGCTCGGCTGGTAACCCGCGCTCCGGGCCTACGCTTCGACACTTTCCCAACCTCAGCCCCAGGCTCGTCGCGCGACAACCACAGTCCATTACCGTTACTGTCAGAATATTATCTTATTGTTCTAGCCTGTAGTGGGGTGCTCTATAGCGAGTACAACCCTTCTAGGGTTTGCTATTTGTATCCTCATTCTTGCTAGTTCAATCCTCTTTCTTCCTTCAAAATTTGACATGCTATCAGAGCAGGTCGATCCCCTTGGATCGATCCTGTGGGTGTGTCCCCACCTTGCTTCCGCTACTACTGTTTCCTCCCGCCGTGCGCCCCGAGGCGCGCGGCGATTTTCTGCCCGCCGTGCGCCCCGAGGCGCGCGGCGGTTTTCTGCCCGCCGTGCGCTCCGAGGCGCGCGGCGGGCTTCTCCCCTACGTCGCGGCCCCGCCCCGATCGTCGCGGCCCCGCCCCTTGACGCGGCCCCGCTCTACGTCGCGGCCCCGCCCCGGCCCGTCGCCGCCCGTGCGCCTGCCCGGCTCGGCCCCGCCCTTCGTCGCGGCCCCGCCCCGGCCCGTCGCCGCCCGTGCGCCTGCCCGGCTCGGCCCCGCCCTTCGTCGCGGCCCCGCCCCGGCCCGTCGCCGCCCGTGCGCCTGCCCGGCTTGGCCCCGCCCTATGTCGCGGCCCCGCCCTACGAAGCGGCCCTGCCCTACGTCGCGGCCCCGCCCCGACCGTCGCGGCCCCGCCCCTCGTCGCGGCCCCGCCCCTGCGTCGCGGCCCCGCCCCTCGAAGCGGCCCCGCCCTACGTCGCGGCCCCGCCCCGCTCGTCGCGGCCCCGCCCCTTGTCGCGGCCCCGCCCTCCCCTCAGGTCCGTGGTGGGCCCCCCCCCCCCCCCCCCCCCCCCCCCCTGCCATTTCCCGTCGCCCGTCGCGGCTCCTTCGGGGGCCGCGAGCTGTTGGGTGGCGGGTATGGGGGTGGTCGGTGTGCCTTCCTCCCTTTCTCCTCCTCCTCCTTCGTCTCCCACTGCTGCAGCTGTCGCTGAGGGGGGTGGTTGTGTGGGAGACTGGGTTTAGGGTTTAAGGGGGGTGCGTGGGAGTAGAGCTAGTGGTGTAGCAGTGGGTGTGTATCAGGGGGGTGGGACTGTGTGTGGGAGGATGAGCGGAGGTTGCCAGTTTGTCGTCAGCAGCACCTGTAGTCCGGGGCGCTGTCCCGGTAGCCCAGTCGTAGCCAGCTGTGCCAGCCGCCCGTGGGTCCGTTGCCCGTCCGCCGCTATTTGAGCCGCGGGGCCTGTTACTCCTGTAGTCCGGGCGCTGTCCGGTAGCCGCTGTGCCAGTCTGCCTCCTGTTGCCCGTGTGTCTGCAGCTTCAGCCGTCGCCTCCTGTCTCCTCTCCCCTCACTCTCCCTCCTCCTCCTCACTTGCCCGTTGTGACTACCACTAGCTTTGCTTATAATTGTGAACTCTAAACTATTTTTTCTTGACCTTGTGCTCAGAATGCGTGGTGACATTGTGATCCACCCTGAGCTTGTACTGTTTTGCCTGCTCTGCTGATTACACCCCACTTTGGCTATGGGGGTGTGTCAGAATATTATCTTATTGTTCTAGCCTGTAGTGGGGTGCTCTATAGCGAGTACAACCCTTCTAGGGTTTGCTATTTGTATCCTCATTCTTGCTAGTTACCACTATTGTTTCGCTATATAATCCTTCGCTCATGCCTTCGCTCATTGTAATCTTTGCTTCGATAGTGCAATTCTCGTTCGTTCACTCAATTGCACTCAGACGGAACGGACAAATCAGACCATGGAGCAGCTGATTCGAGCCACGTGCGACGACCCGAATACGTGGGAACAGCAGCTGCCACTTATCGAGTTCGCATACAATAACGCACCATCAGCCACGACGCAACAGTCGCCGTTTTATTTGAATTACGGACAGGACCCAACAGTACCCATGACACCGAATCCCGACAACCCAGTCCCACGAGCACAACAGTTCGCCGAGATTCTGCAAGCAGCACGGACCAGGGCAGCAGAAGCAATCAAAAAATCAAACATCATCGCTAAACGTAACGCCGATCGACATCGCAGACCCGTTACTTATCAGCCCGACGACCTCGTATTACTCGACACTCAGAATCTTCGCCTGCCCATCACTCCAAAACTTCGCCCCCGGTATTGTGGGCCATTCCGCATCAGCCACATGATCACACCCGTCACTGCCCACCTCCTCCTCCCTGCTGACTGGTACGTCAGCCCGTCATTCCACGTCAGCCTACTTCGCCCTTACATCCCATCCACGAGCCAACTGCCACGAAATCGACCAGCCAGCATGACACGTCCCCCAACCGAACCACTCATCACCCCTGAAAAAATCCTCAGCCACCGAGTCCGCGACCCTCGGGGAGCCCGAAGGATAGAGTTCCTAATTCGCTGGAAGGACCGAACGCCCACAGAAGACAACTGGGTCCCCCTGGATAAAATTGAGAACCACCCTGTCTTCCCCGAGTATCTGCGAAGCCGAAATTTCCGCGACGTCCATGCGCTCTCGTAAGAGGGGCCTCCTTGGGAGGGGGGTAGTGTAAGGAAATTCCTTTTTCCTTACTTCGCGTCCCTGCTCAACGCGTACGTCACTGTAGCACCTCAGTCAGCACCGTTACCACTCACGACCATCGTATCATTCATTATCCCGCCCTCTTCGCACATCGCATCCCAACCTCACGGCTCGGCTGGTAACCCGCGCTCCGGGCCTACGCTTCGACACTTTCCCAACCTCAGCCCCAGGC